TGCACCTAGAATGTATTGTTCAAAAACAGACATGCTCCACTATTTTCTGCTAAATTTCCAGAAATATTTGGATAAAAAATATATTTATATAAAAGTTCTGCTAGCACACAAATTCTATTGCAACAAACCTCAAAAAGTCGAAGAAATATAAGCAAGCATCTCCGTCAGAAAAAAAAAAATTAATCAGAACTAATGAAACACAAACCAAGCAACTAAAAACCCCAAGTGCAATGACTCTTCCTCAGCAGAGCAGGGAAACTCTGGTACGACAGGGCATGTCTGCACCTTGGCACTGTCCTCACAGGGAAAAGCTGCTGGGAACTGCTCTCGACTTTTCTGAACACAAGTAAGATGCCACCAGCAGGGTAAGAAGATCTATCTAACTCTGGGAGGGGTTCAAACCTCGCAGAAGAATCCCAGCCCGGGGGAAACTCCCCTGGCTGGTGTTTGACCCAACAGATGACAACGAGCACTATGGATTTCAGTGGTGCCCTGCATGGAAATGATGCAGAATCCAGAGGGTTCCCCCACCTCTCTCCTTCCTGCACGCAGCCTGCCCGGTGGCTCACACCACCCCCTGTCTCTGCTGTGCAAGAATTCAAAGAATCAGAGTGATTCAAGGGGACCCCATGAAGCAGAAGCAGCAGGTTTTTTTTTTTTTCTCCTGATCTTTTCTCAAGGTGTACAATTGCTTGCGAGAACAACACCCAGAGTTAAAATCAGTGAAAGGCCCTTTTTTTCTCTTTGCTCACATAAGTGCCCTCCATGCAGGCTGTTTCATGTTTGTCAGGTCCTGGGTACACTAAAGCAAGGCTTTGCAAGGTTATGGCCAAGTGAAGCAATTTGCATCACTGGGGCCCTACATAACAGCTTTAGGCTTCTTGGTAAATTCACCTCATCCTCTGCTTCTTAAAGGAAAAAAAAACATTAATGCATCATTTGCAATGCTAACCACAAAAAAATGAAATCTTCTGCTTCAGCATAAAGTAGGATACATAAGGAAAATAATTTTTGCCAGAACAAGAAAGGGAACAAGATTATTCCTGTATTCTCTAGTAGGTTTGGTGACCCAAATCCCCAGACAGTCATCTGGGACCTGGGAGCAAGCTTTCTGTTAAAGCCAGACACAGCTTGTGCACCCCTCTGAGCAGCAGAGATGTTCCCCCAGCATGCACAGAAATGGAAGCCCATGGATAACTCCAAAACAAACCTCTAACCCTAATCTGTTGATGCAGAAGAGCAAAGAAGGGATCACCTTTCCCTGAAAATGGAATTAAAAATTTAAACTAAGGTAAATCTTATAATTTAAAAAAAACAAAACAAAACAAAACAAAATGAAACTCTTAATTCACAAGATGCTAAAATCACAGTAGTTATTAACCTAACTTAAATTAACTGGCTTATTATTATAGAAAGTCATCAAATGTACTTAGCATTCTTTAGAGCCTTACAGTCAATTAATATAACATGAAATTGAATCAACTCAAGCATCTAGAGACACAGAACCTAGATTTAAATGAAAACTTCAGCCCCATCTACCCCAGGGTCTGAAAATTTGGGATCACCTACCACAGTTTCTCCATTGCAACAGGCACAAACCCTCATTTATATCCCATATTGAATTTACCCAGAAACAACTGAAAGAATGTGAGAAAACCATCTCCACGATTAAATTTTAGAGCTGAAGCTAAGCCCAGTGGGGTTTTCACCCTTTGAAGCTCTGCCTGACTGAGGGCCAGATTTTCTGAAGTGATTAGCACCACTGGGGCTGGGTTTTCAGAACTGCTGGAGCTGCAGTCAGGCCCTCAGAAGAGGGAGATGGATTTTCAAAGGAGCGCTCGGGCGCTCCCTTCCCCTGCGAGGAATTCCACGGCACACGTGGGAGATGGGATTCCCTGAGGAGCCCTGGGCTGCTGAGCACTTCTGACAACCAGGACCTTTACTTACATGTTTCAGTGGGGAAACACTGCTGGCAGTTACACTGTTTTGAACATCTTGTCCTAAAATAAAGAGCTACCAAGACACGTTTATTTCTGGCCAAACCCAATCGTTCTTTATCACAGAAAAAAGACAAAAAAAAAAAAAAAAGAAGGGAAATGTTATATTTTCTAATATCCTAGAGTATGCTCTGCAGAAAATCTGCAAGCATTTTACAGTGTTTGTCAAGGAGGAAGAAAGTGCTTGTTCAGTGCTGCATGTGAAAGCAGCTTACTGGAAAAGATGAAAACTTATTATTGCCAATTTTGAAAAAAGAAATCTTTGGCTACCAATGAATAACTAATCTAAGCTAACAATGTCTGGAAATAGTTTTTTTGGAACACACAAAACTTTGTGACGGATAAAAATTAGGAAATTAACGTTTATTGTATTATTTCAAATGTAACTGTTTACACTTGAGGAAAAAATAATGGAATAATATCCACTTGGAAAGTTCTTATTTTTAAAAAATCCTTTGTAATACTCCCAGAAACTCCCTCGGCCAAAAGCAAAGAAGTTGCTTTTTAACCAGCTAGAAAAAAAAGAGCATGATACTACAGGCATGGGCTCAGTGTACAATAAACACCAAGATGGCTTTATGGCATTCCTTGTGAAGACCTCACTAGCTGGTAGACATTTAAAACGCATCACAAACCACTCCACAGTGTACTGGATGTCTTCAAAATGCGTTTTCTCATGAGACAACGAGGCCTGGACAACAAACCTTCTCCCTTCTGACACAGACACACCTCACACCCGCATGGAAGGTGCCCGGTGGCTCACGTTTAGATTAATTGTCCCCTGAGCCCCACGGTCCCTCCATGCCCCTAGAAGGCCCTCAGGCCCAGAGGGGTCAGAGAGAAGTGACAGGTCTAACAGAGGTGAAATTAATGCTGCAGAAGCCAGAATTCATAATTTTTCAAACTGAGGTGATGCCACACACCCTGCTCTGTGTGCACGTTTATAGGCAAATACAGAACATTAGCTGTTCCCTCGTGGGCTTTCATATGTGCTTCCTCTGTATTCAAGAAATTTGCTATTTAGGTTTAAATTCTGAAAGTAAATTAGCCATGCAAACGTCCTTACTGTAAGAAATAATTTTAATATTTGCAGGTATGGAATTCTACACAGAGCTCTGGCATTTTTACACACAGTGAGTATGAAACTGGAGAGCCTAATTCATTCGACAAACCAATTCCTACATGCATTTTTATCTGTGACAGGTTGCTCTTTCAAAACTGTGGATTTATCAGTTTGCTTTCAAAAAACCACCCTTAAATTTAATACATCCCAAAATAATGTACCAGATAAATGCCAATTATAAATTTGGTCGTACAAAAATAAGAATTAATTCCAAAAAATGTTTCTATAGCTTCAGTAGTCTACCACACTACTGGAATCTGCTGAGAGATGTAAGGTCTACAGGGTCCACTGCTCTAGACTCACACAACATCAGTTCTAGAAATCTCTCTTGACATTAAGGTACTTGCTCTAACCCTCTAAAAACATGCAGTTTTTAAATAAAAACCAAGCATGGTAACTTTGCACTCTCAGAGTTCTTCTCCCTTGTTCCTAAAATGTAGTTGTCTCTTTACCCTACCAAGTCTTGAGCGTGTGCTCCAGTTGTTTTAGTCCAACAAACTCAGAAAGGTCATTCACAACACAAGTGAAAACAATCTAAGCAAAGGCATGAGACAGCAGGGACCTGAATTTTTAAGTCCATGAGCTCTCCAAGGAATCCCAATCCTTGTGCTTTGCTCAATATCTCTATTTGTACAGGAAGAATGCACTTAGGAGGGACAGAGGGGTAAATATCCACCATTTATCTGCAAGTGCAGAAACCTCTCAAATCAGAATAGGGCTGCTTTTGATTTTTGTTTCTTCTTATTACATGTAAATTTAGTAGCTGGTGCTAATACATCGTTATCACAATACTGTGTCTCAACAATAATTATATTGTAAACATAATGTGTACCCTCAAGTATTAAATACTGTTTCTCCCCTGCCTGCAAAAGTGAACCAGCAACAGCAGCTGTTCCCCCAACATGAATAAGCTCCAAAATATTTTTAAACCTTACCTATAAAGTTCTTAGTTTCTTTTGCAGCTTCTTGTAAAAGAACAGCTTATGTATGAGAGAAGACAAATGATTCATTTTTGTACTGAATTACTGAAAACCCTTCAACAGCCTCAAATAACCACAACCTAACACACAGAAAATCCTTCTGAAATACTTCTGAAGCTGCTGTAAACTTCCTTTTTTTATTGAAACCTTAAGTTCAAGTCCCTTTAGAGATTTTATTTCTTTAGCTATCATTGCAAACATATTGCCATTAATTGGTTACAGAATTTTACCTATTCTGCTTTCAGATGACCAAGTGAATCACCAAGTTAATTCAAGGGAAAAGGCAGTCATCCCGTGCTTTCTGCAGAAACTCAGAATACAAGAGCTTATGCTTTGACATTTGCAAAGACTGGACAACTTGAGGGATTTTTTTCTTTCTATTCTCATCCCAGTACAATTCATCTACAGCGGTTCCATGCTGACACTGGATATCAAAGTTCAAGACAGGGATATGAGCCAGCTTGTTTCCATGTCACAGAGCCATCAGGATTTGCTGCCCAGGTGCAGCAGGGGCTCTTGCAGCTGTCTCACATCTGGAATGGAGCAAGTGAGTCTTGCTACAGGTCCTGAGATGCTCTGCTACAGGACAGGGTACGCCTGAATGGTACCAGTGACTCACAGAGCAACACCACCACCTATGTAGGAATTGAACAGATTAGGAATGCCCAAAGGGTGGCATCAGTTGACTTCTCCCCATCAATTCAGGTTTTAATGAGCTAATAGATTTCCTCAAAGTAAACTGCATAAAATGCCACATCTGAAAAAAAAGAGACACTTAAATGTGCATCTGCTCCACCCCTGAGAAGATGCAACTGGGTAACCACGCACGCAGAATAAGAAATGCTGATTGAATTGAGAGGGGTTAATCTGCAGGGGAGTTGAGAAGGGACCAACACTAACCTCTGGGTAGCCTCCAACGTCATGCACATCGATTCCAAGGAGATGTCCAAGCCCGTGTGGCATAAATATTGCACCCAGATGAACCTTCACCATGTCATCCACATTGCCTTTCAGAATGCCAATTCTAGTCAGCTCCTCCAGATGGACTCTGTCAGCCAGACGGTGCATATCAGGCCAGGCGACCCCTTGGAGAGCAGAAACCAGCAGCTGAGTTAACTGTTGCTACGAGTTTTTACCAACGGTTTTCAAAAAAAACAGATGTAACACGTGCCCTTTGTTTGTATAAAAAAACAAAGGTGGAAAGAGCGACTACGTTATTAGCACAAAAAGTACTTTGAACAAGACAAAGATATTTTAACTTGCCTGCGAAGTACAGAAAACTACAAACAGGAGAAACAGCAGCACCTTATAATGCAGACCCACATGGAAAATATTAAGACATTGTATCTAAGTGTGTATATACAGATGTAAATGTATCAGTGAGTCTTCTATAAGAATTCTATAGAATGAATTCTATAGAATGCAGTTACTTAAAAGGCAGAGCATAAAGTATTAGTATCCCATTATTTTCAACAGTGATCATACTAATTCAGAACATTAGAGGTGGACAGTGCTCTTCTACGTAGGTTGAAGATTTAAAGCCCACATCTTTCTGGCAAAGACGCTCTCCAGAAATTAATGATTCCCTTGTGTTAATGGGCTGTGTAAAACACAACTCCTCTAATACGTGTACTAAAGCAGCATTACAAAATACTGTTGGTTGACTAGAGACAGAGTGCCAGGATACATTAGATTGCTATTATTTGGTATAGGATACAATTTTGTTTGACAAACTGCTGGGGGGAGGAGGGAGGAAGAAAGCAGCTCTTTTGTTAGTAACACAGTGCTGTCTTAATTAGTTCACCATGGCTTTGAGTCATCATCAACAGAGCAGTTGCAGAGTCAAGACAACTAGGGCTAAGGTACAGTAGAAGAATATTTTCCTTGTTCAATTTTGGCATGATTAAACAAATAAGAAATGAGCAATTTCTAAAGCCAAACCCCCATCAAGTTCCATTTGCTTTAATCCCCTTAAACACGCAGCTCTAGGGTCTTGTGAACACGAATGTCATATCTTAATTACATTAGCACTTTCTGCTGAAAGTACTGAGGCTTCAAAAGCCTGAAATGAAATCATCCTATGGGAGTGCTTAAATAAAACTCAGCTGTCTTTTATGGCCCTGATAGAAAGATCAGAACCAAAGCGGTCAGCACGTGGCTGCTCTGCCCCACACTCTGTCCACGCGGACACCGATGCATCTTCACACTGCCCCGGGCGCTGCCTGGGGCCAGCTCAGTGTGTCCCCACCAGACTGCTCAGGGACCAAACCTTTAGCCTGCTGCCTGCAGGCTCGTGCCTGCCAAGCAAGGCCACAAGGCAGAGGGACAGGCACAATACGCTGCACAACCCCCCGAGTGCTGCCTCCTCACAGAAGCCAACGGTGCCCAAGCGAGTGATGCTCACCCATGAAATGTGTGCAGTCTCCCTGTTCAAAATGTGCTATTTTTGTGGATTCCTACTTTGAAAAAGAATGTAGATTTTTCATTTAGATTTTTCATTTAATAAGAACCAATACAACTATAACCAGTTGTCCTTTGACAACCGCGTTCAACATAACTGTATTTTACAATAACTTATCTTTCTGAACGTTTGATTGCATCGCAATTTTCACCTCCCAAGGTTCACCTCTGTTTCACAGCTCTCTCACGTCGGGCTCCAATCCATCGTATGATAAATTGAAATCATTATAATCTATCACATCAATATCGTGGATATCACACCGGAAGTATCAGTGAATCACAGTTGCTTTCCTATTTATTTTATAGCTGTGAGAATACAGAATTTCTGTGTGTAAGTTCAGCTTCTGCACTTTGCAGTCAACTCTAATTGCTCTAGAAGTCTTTAATCTCCTTTCTGAGGACTCTAGATGTTCTTTTGAGATCTCTCCCATGATATCTTAGCTGAGTATTACTACAAGTCATCTATTTTCATCCCCATAATTGCAAAGCCACATGTAATGTCTGACCCCGGTCAATTAGTTGAAGCCTCATCCTCTCTTGATATAAACGAAGGTCAGAACTCCATGGCTGTAAGACAAAACACAACCATATCCCGGATGCTCTGAGTCAAGTTAAGATGAGGTGCCTGAGAAAGCTGGACATGAGGTGCCTGTTGTTTGCAGCTCAGCTTCCCTCTGCAGCTCTGCTGGTACTGTTGGTCTCAGTCCAAATCCACAGACTCCACTTAAAGAGACAGAGCCACCTTCGTCAAACTTAAGGAAGAGATACAAAAATCAAACTGATCAGAAACAAACCCACCAAAACCGCATATCCATTTGTCTGCAGATGTTTAACAGAGCAAATGAGTGATGCTACTGCCCTAACTGAAAAGACTGCCATGGCCGTAAATCCTGAATATTTCTGGGCACTGAATAAATCCATTCCTTCTTCCCTCGCCTTTACCTCTTTCTTTTTTGCTCACTGACATAAAGTGTAACTATCTCCCCTCCCCTCCTCCTGCCCAGAGCTGTGCATTCCCCATCTGTCTTGGCTTTTATATCTTATCTGTTCCACTAGAGACCGAGGACAACAAAAAGCTCTACTGTGAAATAAATAACGAGGCTGGATGGAATATCTGCAGCTTCGGACTCTCTCTTGGAACCAGGGCAGTGCTTCAGACAGAGCCCAGCAAAACAGCTCTGGACCACTCTTCCATCATCCTGCCAGTGCCATCAGTTTTGCTGGAGATGGGGAGCACGTCAGCTCCAGCACTGTCCTGCAGGAGTTGCAGATGGCACCAGGGCAGCTCTGGGCAGAGGGAAATTAAACTTCTGCTGGAGGCACCCGCTAAATAACACAAATCTTGGTTTACAAATAAATAGGTGCTCAAATAGTCTTAATTAAAAAGCAAAGTTTAGAGATAGATTGAATTTATATTCCATTGTCTGGCTCCACATTTTGTTCCATTATGACTGTGGTGTGGTAGCATTAGGCCACCCCCCTCCAAGACACTTAACCTACAAGCCCTGTGTAATACACTCATACATACAATTATTTGTGTGCTAAGACAAAACATGAGGACATTTTTGAGCTGCTTAGAGACAGTGAATTATGTGGAGTGACTTTTCTGGTCTTCACTTAAAAAATGGTCATAACCTTGTCTTGTTTGATATGGGAGGATTCCCATCATGGTAGAAATAAACAATAAAGTATAAATAGGCTTTCCCCCCCTTTTTTTTTTTTTTTAAATAGGTAATTTGACAAAGACAGAGGATCTAAATGTGAGTCTTCAAATATTTCCTGTTACCCTTAAAATCTTAAAAACATTAACTTTGTGAAGAGAAAGAACTACTTTACAGTAATAAGGCAATTAGTTAAAAGCATAGAAGAAAATCTACTGAAAACAGGGACCCATCATAATTCCAGATCTCTCAGTCCATTTTATACAAAAACATATGAACATGTTTTATACATTTAATATAAACAGAAATATACAACTCTTAAAAAAGTTATTCTTCTTTTTTAAAAGTTATTTTAATCCTAAAATTGTATTAGTTTTATCTGGCAATGGGAATCTTTATAATACAATGGCTTGTGTAAGCCCAGCTGTCTCTGAGACAGGCTAGCATGTCTGTTTAGTCCACTTTAGGAGCAGAAGTCCTTAAGTTCTGCTAATCTAATTTTCCTTTGTAGAAACTGAACTTCCAATAATTGCAAAATGTGGAGAAAGCAGGAAAAATTAAATACCAGAGTTGATGGCTTGATGAAGCCGATAACTTGATTAGGAAAGCCATGAAGGGAACTTTTTGGTACTCTCCCATGACGTGCAATTCAACAACCTGGACATGCCACAAGGACCTGCAGTGAGAGCGTGTGAGTCCCTCTGTCAGAGGCAGAGACACCCCCGTTCTGCTCATATTTCTGTGCCCACACCCACGTGGGGATGGTTCTAGCACGGTAAAGGAAACAATAATGGAAAAGGTTCTGTGGGGGCAGCCAGGGAACAATCTGCCCAACAGATTGCACACTTGCAGATGTGAAGAAAAACACACCAGCTAAACAATGCTGAATGAACATAACTTTGTACTAAGAATCCTTAATATGTGGGGGCTACTTGACATGCAGGCACTTCAGTTTTTGGTGGTCTGGTGGGGAGCTCTGTGCAAGCTGATGCAGCAGAAGTCAAATACCTTAGCAGCACTCTTGTAGGGAGAAAAGGCAGTTAAAAAACAACTAAAAACCACAACAAAACAACTTCCACACAAGTTACTCTACCATCAGTGATGTGAGTTACTGCAGTAGTTGACTTTTGCAACACCAGCCGGCACTAACATCCCACCACCAATCACTCACTAGGATGTCTTATTCATATACTATTCAGGACTATTATTTTTAAGCTTTGGTGGAGTTTATCATAGTTGCAAGACATGCTTTTTGTGTAAAAACGTTTATGACAGTTGCAGATGTGCTTTTCGTGCAAAAAGGTTATTCCATTATTATCTTTAAGCCACTTTATAAACCAGTTATAGTCCACTGACAGATGAGGTTTAAAAAGCTTGATTGGAGGGTCCTTGGACTTTGACAGCTTGTACCAAAAAGAGTCTGTACTCAGGAAAATCTGCTGATGAGGTGTCTGCTCCCTTCTTAATTCTCTGCCAAATGAGATAGTGGGTGATACAGGTCACTGAGCCAGCCCGTGGCTCACGAGGCTGTGATTCGTTACCTGCCATGCAGCACTGCTTGGGCAAGAGACCAGGGCAAAAAGCACCTTGTGCAGCAACCAAAGCACTCGAGATTCCCTGGGATACACACTGGATGAACGACACAGCACCCACCAGACAGCGGAGATGATGAAACGTAAAAGGTCACGGAAAACGTAAAACCAGGGAGGTTACTCATTTTCAGCTATTTCGTTGGCAAACAGCATAGCAGAGGTTTGCAGCTGTGTGAGGTACCACTGAAAAATGGCCAGCTTAATGCATTAAACTTGCTAAAAGAGGTTTTTTTAGAATTTTTTAGAATGATATCTGATGCTCTTAGATACTACTGAGACAGAAGAGAAGAAGATAAAATAAATATTGTTTTGCTTCCTAAAAATATTTCCTCTCTAACTGTCCGTTTGCCAAACCCACAAAATTTCAGATAA